AAAGCGAGCTTAGTGTTACACGAGCGTATTCGTTCACTCTGGATTACGAGCTTTCTACCTTTGTGCCCTAATCCAAGTTTAAGCGATAATACAACAGATTTCTTGTTTTCATCTGTAAAGACGCAGGCCGCTCCCTCGAGCGACGCAAAGTTAGGGGAAGGTGAGCTTAATTGGGAAATAATGCCAAAGTAATTAATCACAATGCCTATCTACCCTATATGCAGCATCCAAATTGCGAAGTTTACTTCACGAAATTTAAAGATTTTTATAAATTTTATGAAATTACTAATTTGATGTCTTCAATTTAAATGGTTTCTGATATATAATTAAAACATAGATTTCTTTAATTTAAAGATCATTATTTTTTTATGCCGAAAGCTAAGGTATAAAAAATGTATAGAACAATAAAACTATTAAACGTAAAGTAAATCGTTTTTTTTTGTTAATTAACTTACAATTTATGCAGAAGGAATTCAACTGTTATTCGGTGGCCCCTAGCTTATATGAGTAATTTCCACTGGGACTTACAAAGGTCTCGGGTAGACCTAAAACTGTTCAGGTTCATTTACTCTACGTACGATTACCTTATTGTTGTTATGTTAAAGGTGAATTGGAGATTTTATCGAAAATGGATGAATACATTCCAGTTTATTCACTGAGCAAATAATAGATTTTGATCACTTAGTAGCATTTACTGTTCTTTTACTAAATATCTTTTACTATTTAGTACTAGTGACTCACCCTCGCTCCGTTCGGGTTCGTGCCTATTCACGTTTTAACGTTTAGTATCGATTTCTCAGAGATGAGATATTTTACCGCATTAAAAAGTATCCTATATGTTGACCTGGATAACCAGCTATCATCATACCAAATTTTATCAAAATCCCTCCAGTGGTTTTTCCGTGATGCGGTAACAGACAGACAGACAGATAAAAATTCTAAAAACTATAGATTCGGCCTCTGTATCGATGATAATGTCTACTTCAATAAGGTTACCCAAAAAATATTTAATGTACAGATTCGGCTTAGTTACAATTCTATTATATGTATAGATTTACTAGTATTTATTTTTTAATACTTATACCAATTTTATATTAAACTATGAACTACCAAACTTAATAATTGAGATTTTTGTGAACGTACTAGACTTTCTATTTTACAAATAATAAATGTAGTAATTTAATATTTTTGTATACTTATCTGAATTAATTACAACCACTAACAATACCACTTAATAACCGGTGTGTCACTATTATTAATGGACTCAAAAGCCTTGTTAGGATGTAGAATGAGCGTAATTGGTAATACAAAACCGCGTGGGGATCACCAGTGACGGTCCCGTTATGAAGCACACAAATTTTCTGTAAACCCTTTAATCTACCGCCTGCTTATTTCAATTGTATAGTAAATCTTTTTGCGTTTATATAAATCTTAAGATTGTAAGAATAAGGATTAAAATACAATAATTTTGCAAATGTTCAATGTGGCCACCTTACCCTCATCGGGAAAATTGTCCACATTTTCCCTGTTCTCCCCTCATTGATTGTAATTTTGGCTCTGTGCCTGAATAGACTTCATTGTAAACTACTGATGAACGTCGACTTTTTATTCTAATTGCTTAAGAAAATATTTTATTTTTGCATTATGTACATCAATGAACGTGAATAGTGTTATTAAGAGTGTGGTTTTTGGTTACAGCTCACTGCAAATAACAATAATTTATTCGAAACTTTACTTGCTCCGAAAATACCTTCGTAAGTTGATAATTTTGTATAATTAAATAATTACGACTAATTTAAGCTTTCAACACCTCCAAGTAAATAACTAAGAAATTAATTAAATTTCTAAGAAATCTATTATTAACTGTAACGCCGGCGTGTCCGTGGTCGTGGAGGGATTATAGAAAACAAATAAAGCTTTAACTTTCTTACAACAACAAGTTATTTAAGTAAACTTATTGAAGTTAAGTTCAATATATCAACGTTCGTTACCCTTTTCAAGTATGTATTTATCTTAAAAAGTAAAGAATACTAGACGTCGTTTCTATTTTCATACATAAAGCGTACATTTCATATGAAATGCAACGAGCGCAGTTTGTTCGGAAAACTCGAGGATAAGGAAGGGTCCCGGCACGCACGCTGCATACCTAAAATGGCAAAAAAACCTGTCTTCATAGACGGTATAAGTACGGTAGGCAAAAATGTTCTACATTTTTATATGATTTCCTTTGATATAAGGCTCATGTTACAGAACAAATGTGCAACTTATATGCACGACTGTATGAGCTTATGTTTGAGTTGTATGACAAACGTGCTATTGTGTCAGAATAAAAACCATCCTCCATACTAATAATAAGTCGTGCGGATGTGTGTCGGACATGATTTTCATTATTAACGTTACGGTGAATTCTATATGAGGTTATAAATTTAAAATGTACCTAAGTTGGTAACACGATGCAATGTTTTGAAAATGACACACGTAAAATTTTCTTTTATAACTTTGCACAAGCTTAGTATTTTACTCATTGACGTGAAAACTTCTATAGGCAGATTTGGATGGTGAGTTAAATGTAAATCATTATCGACATGGTCTGGTGACGTGTCAACCTTAAGACTCAGAGTGCCGATAGATGTCAAAAGCAGATAAATTTAAACAGTTTTAATTTACAAATTTTAATTTAAGGTCAAACAATTAATTTGTGTGTTTATCAAAAAATAACAACTGTTTGTTTATAGTTTTAAGTTTTCACTTCTGTCGGAGTTCTCATGGCTGCTTTTTTTGTCTCTCTGTGACGTGAATATAGAATTTGTGATTTCTGAAAAAATCAAGATATTTTTACATTAACACCTTAATTTTTCTTAAATTTCAATTCAATAACGATATAACTTAATTATTATACTTAATTATTATATATAATTACGATATAACTTTCATAATTGAAAGTTATATCGTAATTGAATAAGTATTACTTATAAGTTAACATTATTTTTAGATTATATAAACATATACATAGTTTGTTGCACAAGTTAGTCAAGAACTTACATTGAAGCATAATATACGTTCTGTACTTAGCTTACGATATTCGATCAAATCGAGTGATGAAAATATATGTGACTTGAAAATTGATTAATAAGACGATACTCCTCAAATCCTTTCAAACGTGGAATCGAGGAGGCTCAACTCGTGCACATTGATCTTTGATATTCCTCGCGAACAAAATTGAGCCAATCTTATACTCTTTTATAGAGGTAACATTCGTTCATTTACTGGTATACTGAAGGATTATCTCTAAAACTAATCTACATACAATTAATTTCACTAATAGAAAAGTGTAGGTACTATGCATAAGTAATGTTTTTAATTGACTGTTAAAAACTATAGGTATATTGATATCGACAAAAGTATAAAATAAATGGCCGTGCCTTAGCGATTGCTCTTCTTTTTATAACAATCTATTGTTAATATAGACATGGAAATAAATGAAACTATGATTGTATTAACTTATCGCGATGAGAGCTTCATAAAAAGGGAGATGCATTCAATACTTTCTTTCAACTGTTTATTTTATCTTCTCATGGTTGATAATATCTTACAATAATGTGAGAAATATGAGATAAATATTTCTAATACATATACAGCAATTTTAAATAATATAACAGAAATTCCATCATAAAAAGTTAGTAATAAAAAGTATGCTTTTTACAACGCAAAATGGGCCCTTTTTCACAACTATAACAATTTTAAACTAGTGTAGGTAGAGTTGACTGCTATGGAAGTTAAACAATTTCTGTATTAATTTTCAATTTTAAAAACACAAATATTCTTATAGAATACTAGCAGAACCTGCGGCTTCGCTCGCGCTAAAACTAAAAAAAAGATCTCTAAAAAGATAGTTTCATACAAATGTTCATCTCCTATTTTACGCCATTCTAGGATGAACTTCGAAAAACGCTAAAACACGTATTTATTTAATTTTATTGAAGAGTATTAATACCACGTTTTTAAGTAATTCTAATAAGTTTTTTTTGATTGTATTATAACGTGCTTTCCCGTGAGAATTAGATATTCTCCGGCGGTAAAAAGTAGCTTATGTCACTCTCCAGCTCTGCAACTATCTCCACACAAAAAATCACGCCAATCCGTCACTGCGTTTCGACATGAAAGAAGGACAAACAAATAAACAAACACACTTTCACATTTATAATATTAGTATGGATATGGATACTACTAACTTTAGAGTTAATTTTGGATAACCAAGCGAAATTTTGTTGCTTAGCAATGTGTAAGAATAATGGACACAGTATAAGTATCTTTGTCACGTGCCTCTGAATAAATTGCGGCAAACTTAATTAAAGAGTTCGGTTCGCGTCCGCTGCCCCACTTTATTTTAACAGAATTAAATATTTTACAGAATGAACTTTCCTAAAGTAATTACCTATTTATTTTAATCTTTAACTAAGAATTTTGGGAAATTTGGATGTTTCAAATGTTTTTGTTTATTTAACAAGAATAAAATTGTAACATTCGAGTTAAAATTCAAGCAATCACTAATAAGTTTGTGCTCACGATTTATATACCAAATATCTGTACTGAAGTTAAGATAACGAGAAGATTTTATATAAATATAATTTGTTTGGTGGAAAATAAAAAATATATAATGCATTAAAAATATTTATACAGGTACTCTATTAGGATGTATGTTTTTGTGTATGTTACGCGATACCTTTGCCAATTTTAAACAGATTTTATGGTTCCTATTTTGATAAATAGGTTATACCTGTAGGGTATTTTTTCATAAGTTGCAAGAAAAAAATGCACCTGTTAGGTTGGATTAATTTATTTAAAAGTGGCTATATCTTTAGTGTAGCCCTTTTACTTAAGGAAAAAATTCAAAAATGTACGTAAAACCAAGTACTTACTTGCATTTTAACTGACTTTGAGTTTGACTCACCTCTCCTTTTTTTCCAGGATGTTCTTCGCAAACGCTTCGGATATTCCCAATGCAAAAGCAACAGACGGTGGCGGTGGGGAAGTCAGTGGTTTTGACCTGCCAGGCCGACGCGCCCGACGCCGCGCTCGTTACGCAGCCACACTGGAGAGACCCTAAAGGCCTTATAATTAATGAAGCCGCGTGAGTACATTGTTTTCGACTGTTCACTGTTTGTTACTTGTTTGCTTCATTATTATGAAGATATATTACATGTTTTATATGTACATGTGTGTTAATACTTAACAGTATCTAACTCTTTGTTGTACAATCATATTAAGCTTACAGTTAAAGAGAAACTTTTATTCAGTCAAATCCATATCGTTTCGTTTTTTTTTCTCTTTAAAGAAATTATTTATGTATGTAATTAAAGTTCTAATATTATTTTATATACCATATAAATTCATGCATACATGAATAACCAATGGACAATTTAATTATCCCTAAAACAAACTTGTTCTGCCAACAGCGCCGGTACTCGACCCGAAATCTACACAGAACCGATGCCGGCAAAACAACAGCAATTGCTATACATATCGTCCATCACGACCGCTATGGCGGGCAAATACACGTGCGAAGCGACTTACACGAACATGCCTCTCAACGCTAGCGTTGTTCTCGACACATTTGGTATGGGCTTTACATATATTAATGTTAATAAAATTGGTGTTTTGTAACGAACTAAAGCTAATTGTGTTGATTTATTCATTAATTGATTGAAAGAATGAATTCTGTTAGACAACGGTTTTATTTTGTAGGTACCTTTTGTAGGCTAAAGTATGTTTTTTCACCGACGTCAAAAAAGAAAGATGTACTCAATTCGTGTCTATATTTATGTTACACGGTATCTTTACTATATGAATCAATTTTCTCGATTTTCTAAGTTATACATATATTGTACTTTAAGAGTTTACGAGTAATTCTGATTTTTAAAGTGATTCTGAAGTCGTTATATCTTTTTAGTTACAAATTAAGTACCTACTGAATAAGTCACTGAATAAGTCACTGACCAATATAATCATATTTTATATTTGATTAAGACCAAAAGTAAGGTACAGATTGAAACGCCAATACAATTTTATAACATTATCGTGAAAGCGTGATTTTTATTTCTATTCTACTATATACTATGTTACTAAAATCGCTAAATATAATATCAATATCAGTTTTTTTTATATAACACAATGTAGATAACTTATAGAGTAATAATGTTTTAGTGGCTATTACATGGACAAATGCAAATGAAAATCAGTATGCTACAAAAGGAAAAGATTTCAAAGTTATGTGTGAAGTGACCGCGGAACCTGCACCATCTGTGGATTGGTTCAAAGAAGGGACACCAGTGAGTGTTTTATTTGACTTAGATATTTCTCTTTATATGTATATAACTAGCAGACCCGGCCACGCGTTGTTGTGGCACACCTATATTTCTTTTCTTTTTTGCTTCGGGGTAGAATTTTTAGCTTAGGGTAGCCGTTTCTCAGGTTCACTCTCCGGAATCCCTCTCCGGATATGAAAAATCTTTAATTTTTTCATTAAAAAAAGAAATAATCGGGATAAAAACTATCTATATTTTAAGTTGGAACAAATCACACATTAAAAAATCGTTAACACCGTGAGTGACACTGGAATTTTATATATTAATATACTCGTATATTGGCATGCGTGTGCACTTAATTTTTTTTCTCCTAAACGGTTTAAGTGATTTGTTAATTTTACTGTCAAGGTACTCATGAGGTCATCTGTATGACTTTTCCCTAATTTTTTTTGATTCAACGGATAAAAGACCAGCCTGTATATGTATATATAAATTATATATGTATATATAAAATAATGTATTACTTATGTATTATTTTCTTTAAGATTTTAACGGGCGACAGATACGTTATTCACGCAAATGGTTTATTAATTAAAAATGTTCAAGAGAGCGATGATGGAACTTATACTTGCCGAGCCGTTGTTATACAAACTGGCGAGTTAGCAGAGCGAAATATTAAACTTCAGGTAACTGCTATAAATCATACCTACACTATTATATATTGCATTTGCGCTATTCGTTTTTATTTTATATTATTTTTATTATTTTAGGTTTACACTGCACCGGAAATGGAAGAACGTGAACCAAAAGTTGTTATCAAAGAAGGTGAATCCGCCTCTATTACCTGTAAAGCTCGCGGACAACCTCCTCCCACATATTCTTGGATCAAAGCCTCTACGCGAGAGGTAAAGATTTTCAATATATACTGCTGATAGCAATAAGTATTGTTTATGTATGATAACTATAGCATAAGGAAATTGTTACTATGTCAAATAAATGTGTATTGGTTAGGTATATAAAAGTTCAAAATGAAAACTTTACTTAATAATTAAAAAAAAGACATGTTAAATTTTAATTACTTAAAAAAGTTCAAAACATATAGCTTTTTAATTTTATGTACTTCTATGTAAATTGAGACATTTTTATGGTGATGTGCTAAATAGAATGAAAAAAAGATAAACAAGAAAAACCGCCGGCAGTTACTGGTTTAGTAATATAACTTAAATTTTTCAGAACCTCGCAACAACATCACGCTTCAGTGTAAACGAAATCGAAGGAATCCTAAGAATCGATAGAGTCGAGGCCGGTGATTACGGCAAATATATATGCAGTGCTGTAAACCAAGCGGGCCATAACGAAACCGAATTGGAAGTCGAAGTTTTAGTCAAACCGAAAATATTTGAATTATTAAATACAACATCTGCCGAAAATACCGAAGGGAGATTGGAATGCAGAGCCTCTGGTCGTCCGGCTCCGCAGATAAGCTTCAGAAAACTTAGTAATAGCAATCGTTTCTTAAATGGTCCTAACGATGATGGAAGGTAATTTATATAACATATTACTTATAACTATATAATAAAGAAGGTGATTTAAAAACATCATGTAAAAATATTGTTATACATATATTAATATTTCATTATTAGCATTTCGTAGAACTTATTTCATATCAATTCGTTTAATTTTTTTTTATATTTCTATACATAATAATACATTTTATAGAAACAAAATAAATAATGTAACATTATTATTGCTTTAATATTATTATTATTTGCAGGATTACTATAGAAACAAGTAGTCGTCAAACCGGAGACCAAATGCAATCTAGCGCAGTTATAACAATTTCAAAGTTGAACAGGACCGATGATGGATTATACGAATGCGTCGCGGAAAATGAAGGTACGAAAAGCGTAAAATAAGTTTCTGAAAATTTATTAATAAAGTGTATTAAAGAATTTTATTTTATTATTACTTATAATCTTAGTTCAAATAATAATTATTATTTTTATACGATTAACGCTTTGATTAAATAATTAACATATATTTAATTACTTGTAATAGACAAATTTACACGATAAAATTTCGCTAATACTCTTTCTAAAAATAATTTATTACCTAATATATATTTTTTATAATATAAACGAATTATTATTCTTTAGTTTTTAAGCATATGCACTTAGTAAAATAATATATCTAAAAATGCATCCGTTATTGTCATCTTAGGTGGAGAAGACCGAAAAAATGGTCATTTGACTGTTCAATTTAAACCTTCGTTTGAACACATGTTGGACACACCTATTTGGAGTTGGAACGCACAACCAGTTAACTTAAGTTGTATTGCTGAAAGTATACCCAATGCTACAATTAAATGGAAGTAAGTTATTTTATCACCTTATCATATGTAAACATTAATAAATTATTTGTTTTTATGTAGATTGTAATAATAAAATTTCAATTTCAAATATACCGACCCCACTTATTTAAATATACCTATCTGTTCATGTGTTTCCTGATCCAGATATTACTGTTCTCTGACGTGACTGAATCGATTTTAAAGGGACTTTCACTTGAAAGCTCCTAATAAAGTAAAAAAAAAAACAAGTATTGCTCACAGACAAATAAAATACTAAAAACATCTACACTTTAAAAATCAAATGTTCACAAAATTTAGGTTTTGATGAATACGTGCTTATCCAATTTTATACGAAATTTAGGTTCCATGAATACGATTTAGTAGAGTCCCCACACGTCAGAATATATGGATCAGGACCTATTAGCTACGTGACCGTCACACCAGTAGACAGAAGCTTGTACGGTATTTACAAGTGCCTGGCGACCAATACCCTCGGTGAAGCGGAACATATCATCCAATTGAGAGAAGCATTCCCACCAGGGCCCATTTCTCAGGTATACTATACAATAGTAAACATAGATATGTTTGATGGTGTATGGTCTTATATATAGTTGTTTGATACTTAATTAGAATTTGAATTATTTAGTATAATATAAAATATAAAAATAATATATATGAAGAATGTAAAACATTGGAATTTATTTCTAAAGCAATATATTGGAATTCCTTAAGAATTATGAGCGAATAATCGCCTCCGGGCTAATTTAATATTACAAATAAATATATAATAAATAAATATGTTGGGACATTAACACACAGCACCATCTAGTTCCATGGTAAGCTACGAGGCCTGTGTTACGGATACCAGATAGTTGATACACTATACATATTATATAACTTTAAATACTTACATATTATAAATATAAACACCTATGACTGGAGCACAAACATTCGTGCTCATCACACAAATGAATGCCCCCCAGTGGGACTCGAACCCGCGATCGTTGACACAGCAAGTAGGGTCACTACAAACTGAGCACAATGTGTCGTCAAGTATATTGCATAAAATTTGTCAATTTTTAATTATATGAACAACTTTAAATAAGAAGAAATGAAGTAGTCACACTGGGTTTCTTTTAGCAGTTTTTCAGGTCACAATGAAATTTTCAAAATCGCTGGTAGTGTTTTTGACAAACAATAAACTATAACTGAAATAAAACATTTCGGAATAGGAAAAGAATAAGAGAAATTTAATTTACAATTCTTGAATTTTTCTCTAATAATAATCGACATAACCTTGCATTTACACGATATTAAATTGAATGTTATATCGATTTGAATTTCCGTTAAGCAAATTTACGAACTACAAGCTTTATAATTGCAATAAATGTCTAGCGATACTACCTTTTTTATTTTATTGATTCAGGTGAAACAAGAAACAATAACGGCGACATCCGTATCATTTAATATTCTTGGGCCTGGTGAGGCTATGGGACCCCCGATACAAGCGTATACAACCCAATATAAAGAAAATGGCAACTTCGACTGGAACCTTGCTATGAATAGGACATGGTCCATAAACTCCCCGTACATTGTTGAGAATTTGAGACCAATGTTCACGTACGACTTTAGATTTGCTGCAGTGAACAGAGTTGGTACTGGATCTTGGGGTGCACCTTTAACCGTCATTATGCCTAGAAGGTAAAAATATATATTAGTTTGTAAAGTAATGAAAATTTGTCTGTCTTTACGAATATAAAAGCTAGCTATGTGAAAATGAATCATGGAGAAATCATAATAATAATTTAATTAAATTTAAATTCTTATATTTTTTACAATATCATAACTGTTTATGATTTTTTTTTATTTAAATTAATATGCCTGTATGGTCTAGCTACTCTATGCTCAATAAATTGTAATTTAAATAAAACCTGTGTGTGTGTGTGTACTTATACATACGTAAGAAGTAATACTTCTTCGGCGTAATAGAACAAAAAATAGCTAAAGATTTCATCCCGTAAGGTACAACTCTCTTTTTGTAAAAGGAGTGCAACTTCATCATGTCGCTTTTTGGATGTCGGTGTGCGCTCGCATCGTAAAAATTTTACTCTCATAATTTTTTCCAAACGTGCCAAAAGAAGTATAACTTCAAAAATATTTCTTTAATGTCTTTTCATCGTAGATCACCACCGGAACAACCGAAATGGAGGGAAGATGTAAGTTCAGAGTCGTTAATACACGGCAAATATGCTGATCGGTATGAACTACAATGGAAAGTACCGGCGCATAATGGAGAACCCATCGATATGTACGAAGTCAGCTATTGCCCAGTAAGTGGTATAATACATACTATATATGTATAGTACATTAATGTCTTAAAATCTTTAAGTTCTCAAACTTTGCATATTTAGTACATATATAATTATTGTATGTATGTATTCAGCCCTTTTCCCACTACTGGGCACGGGCCTCATTTCAATACGAGGGGGATCAGGCCATAGTCCACCATGCTGGCCAAATGCGGGCCGACTTCACATGTCTTTCTAAAATTTGCTAGGTTCTCTCAAACATGCAGGTTTTCCTTCAACGTATGACAAATGGTAATCATGTTAGAAATGATTCGCACTTGACAATATCAGATGTGCCAAATCCAGGATATGAACCCGCTTCACTCGGTTTCTCAAGCGCGCGTTACAACTGGGATACCACTGTCTGTCAAAAATATTACATTTACAGAAACAAAAACCGCTACATATTGTAAATTAACGTTAAGTTTGTGTTTGTTCGACCTAATCTCAGAAACTAATTTACGGATTTTACCAAAAGAAAGTATCCCACTTTCTGTTAGGACAGAAGATCTTATATTTCTACGTAGGAAGGTTGTAGGTTATAATTTGTAAACATTTTGCAAAAATAAGCATTAGGAAAAAATATTACTGTGAGCTTCTGTAATATCATATTAGCGATAATTGGGATGCTCAAGGGACGCTTGTAATTGTGAATCAATGAAAAACTTTTCTCGTATTAATCACTATATTACAATAATTAATTATTACACACTAAGAGAAAATCATACAACCCGCGCCAAACGTCAAAATATATGTATTTGTCGTCATACTATTCCTGCCTAGTGCCTACCTGTCGCCTATGCATGCATAGAGAGTGCCTTTACAAAGGCGCTCGATATGTTCGACTAGACTAGCGGCGCGTAACATAGTATGTATTATATTTCAAAAACATCTGTTTCTATTTCCGCCAAAGTCGCGACGTAACGCTATTACACAATAAGTTACATTATTGATACAAAATAAATTTCGCAGGTCTTGAAAGTAAGTGGTGAATGGCGTGTATCAGGCGAATCTGACTGCGTTATTGAAGAATTGAAATCGTATGAAGCTATCAATTATGAAATACGAGGTCTACGTCCAGACACTAGATACAGAATACATGTTCGAGCTCACAACATTCTCGGATATTCTCTCCCAGCTCAACTATACCTACAGACAGCCCTTGGTGAGTACAGAGATAATGAAATACGCACCGGCTTCTATGACGTTTATACCGCGGACCCTCATACTTCTAAATCGTGTCATATCGTTCCTTCCATTTTGGTTTTGTGTTCATTTGTTATGTTTAATCTGTGAACTGTCAGTGCTTGTGATTTTTTTTTAAATTGCTATATATACATGGAAGTGCTTTGAATTATTATAAACGTAGTTTAGGCTACTAGATTACGGACCAATTTTTCTGCAGGGATCTAAATGTTTGAGCTAGGTTTTTTTATGTGTATGTTTTACATAAAAGATGTACTAGTGCTAAATTCTGTTGGTAATATTCATAATCATCACGTCCATTTATATATGCTGATGTCTTCATAAAATTTTTATTGCCTTTGTATTATTGTAGCTGTTAAGTATTTTTAGTCTAATCTATTCATTTCATTGTCACTTTGTCGTCCATTATGTTTTTCTTTTAAATCATTAATTTCGTTTTACGAATTCTGTGCTTATTTTTTATATTTTATAATAATTTTATTTGTAACACAATTGTGTAGTACAATTTATTAGTAGTTTTTAAGACATAACCAGTTATTGTGATCTGTTTTTTTACGTTTGGTTTTGTATTTAGTTCATTTAGTGCATTACAAGGACAGTTATGGAATCTTGCCCCGAAAATAACTTGCTTAGAGTTAATAGTTGGCGGATAAAACTGTAAAGCCAGCTACAGTGTTTTATTTTATTCATTTCTATGTTTCATACATTGATTTCGCCTTTTCATTCATTATAGTTGGCGTTACACTTTTAAAAGCGGATTTGTATAAGACATTTAAAGATTAATTTTATGTGTTTCCCAAAAATTGCTTTATTGCATGTGTTTTCTGTAATGCGTTTGAGTTTAACGTTAAAAACCCATTGGCATCTAGTTACGATCTTATCATTTTCCTTCGAGTTATTTTACTTTTAATGGTAAGTCTTAGTGCTTGTACACCTTTAAGTTTATTATCATGTGTATATCTAACAGTTGTGTTATATCCATCCCCTGATATGCAATTATAAATATTTATGTAAGTAAATATTTTTTAGGTAACCCAAGTGGAAGTCCAAGAATTTTCCAATGGGCTCACACTAAAGTGGACATCTTTATTACAATACTTATAATATATATCTTTATATAAAGTATATGATATTAGTATAATTATTCAATTATTAAACTGAAATAAGTCCAAAGACGACTGTTATTTAGGAATTTATGTGATAAAATTTGTTGATGTATAAATAGATAATATAACTCATTGCAAAATAAAAAAGTCATCATAAAATGATTATAATGATTTATTTTAATTGATTTGAATTTAAAACATAAAGTTTTACCCCATTAGCATTATAGAAATAATAGAAGACTAAATTATAACATTAAATATAGACGGTAGGTAGTTAATTGGCGAATAAATTTACACTGCCAGAATAAAAAGAATTTTGTTTCAAGATAGACTTACGGAATCTCATGGTAGAATAAGAATTGTGTACGAATTTTTGATGACTATTTTATTCATTTAGTAATAAAATTGATGTAACGAGAGACTCGTCCAGTGCAGTTAAACTCGGTCAGGATGGTTAATGTAATATTACTGAGCTGTTAAGAATATAGTGTTAAGTGTAGTTAGGCAAGTTCTAAGTGTCAAGTTGGAATTGTGAGATCGGGCAGGAAAATGACCAATGTGAAATAAATACTACGAAAATTGAAAACGTTTGTGATTTCAAAGGCTTTATATTGAATGCAGCTAATTTAGAACAAAATCATCGATTTGTCTATTTAATTTATAGTATACTAAAATTGTTATGTAATTTAGCTTCATTCATTTAAGTCTTTTATCCTCTTTAATAACGGTCGTATCAAATGTTAGATACTCAAAAGCCGATTATTATAAACACATATTAAAGTCTCAATAAAAGAAAGCTGTCAAGATGCTTATCAAGAAATCCATTAACCCCTTTTGAATGTTGATTTGAAAAGTGTGTTTGTGTCGCCCTGATCCAATTATGGGTAAATATATTTTATAATAATAATAATGTTACATAGTTAAACCTGCTATTTCCTTTGGAATGAACTAATTACTGTACTGCATGTCCTTCTCAATGCTAGATTTATGTACACTTTTCCAATATTAATGACTAAAACCATTAGCATGGTCCTTATTAAACTATATATTAGTTAGGATTTTTGTGATATCATCACATTTAAATTTTCCCTATAATTCATAGTAGATGAAGTTATAAATTTTTAGTACATGGTAGCGACGGTTATATTTTTAATTTAAATTCAGCATGAATAGTTATTCGTATTTTCTTGTTTGTGAAATACGTTGACAAATGATGGTATGTTATGATAATTTTTATTTCTTATCAGCAATGTAATTCGAGTTATACTACGGATTTTAGAATTATTTTTAAGTAGAGCTAACTTTATATGTAGTTTGAATATTTACATAGTTTTAACATATTATTTTATGAAGCACACTGACTTTTATAGATTCAAACTACAAATAAAAGTCTTACAATATTAACCTTTTAGCAAACGAGGGTTTCAAATTATTGTAAACGGTGATGGTTTTTAGAACTCCATCGGTTTTATTTTATAGTGTATTTTTTTCTGTTATACATATCCAGATATAAAATACTCGATATTCGCTTATTAGACATTCAGAGTATTTGTCATGGGGTTTGAAAATTTATGTTGCGTCAATTCAAGTTATTTGGAATGTTTGCATCTTGACAACTTTTCTTTCTTACTTTTATTGTTACTTATAAGACTTGTTTATGCATCATTACTTTCGCTATCAGCATTTTCTGTCGTTTCATTTTCATTCAAACCCCATTTCATTCAGATGGAGGGCTTTCATATTTAAAAAAAAATTGTTCAATACCGAATCTTTGTTAAATTTGTTATGGTGATTGGGTGCACGATTTCTTGTTTTGAAAGCACTCCTTATTCACCAAAATTGATTGTAATAAATGTTCTAATATTTTCTTACAATGCTCAACGATATTTCAAATATCTTTAACAGCACAAGCACCGGCTATGCATTTGTTACAATCTCTTTCGAATCACTTTACATATTAGCTTCTTCAATATGATGCATAAAACTAACTGTTCCAAGAGCAGCAAATAGAGTTCCTCTTATATATTTTAATCTAACAAAACCAAGTTAAGTCAAGGCCTATATATTTATGGTTTAAGGTCACATTTGGAACTAAGTTTACTGCTCTTATATTCGAATTTATTCAGCAAATTTGTTAAATTAATATAATTTCAACAGGTGTGGAACGTTCTGGATTTGCGCCTCCTCAACTATTATCAAGTGGAGCTATCATTGGTTTGGCATTGGCTGGAGTTCTAATTTGTCTCATAATCGTGGATCTCCTTCTATTGTGCTTCAGACGACAAGGAGTCATTGCCATTATATGCGGTAAACGTGTCAAGAAGCACAATGAGGATGAAGCCAAATTGGGAAGGTAAATATAACAATTTTACTTAATAAAATGCGAACAATAACTTGGTAAGGTAACTCAAAAATCACAGAAACATTCAAAATTCATATATAACTAAAAAATTACAAAATCCACACATATTACTCAAATTATCACTTTAATCTTCATTATGACCATTGAAATCATTGCCACGTCATCGGCATTACGATCGTTCGATTGCGTTTGTCTCCAAATATTAGTCAAACTATTACTTAACTGTCCATCATGAGTTTGAAATCATTGCCAATATCATCGGCATATCGGTTGTGTTAGTGTCGATGAGAGATGTTTCTGCCCGCTAGTCTGTACGGTTGGCGCTTCCCGCTCCCTTATTGCAGTACGAAGCGCCCGCCCTCCCCCGCGCCCCTGCCGCCGCCAGTCAAGCTCGTCCCGACGCCGACGTAAGCATAACATGGGCGCACCGGTTTATCGGTTTTTGAGCTTTTTGGTTGAGTTTTTAGGGATTTTTACTAGAGAAAGATTTGGTTGGTAATATTACGGTTGATTAAGTTGAGACCTTTGGATGTGGCATGATAATTTTGGTGCTTAACATGAGAATGGAGAATTCATATTTGATTTGGGAATATGTCTTATGTAAATCTTATTCATTATAATACAATATAATATGTAGTTATGAATGATGCAAAAACTAAATAAAAATAAAGTAATTTTCACATAAAGTCTCAAAAACCGATAAATTCGAGGTACGACCTTAAGAAAGTCAGCAGTCGATTTCCTGCATGCTTTGTGTGTGCGGACGCTACGGTCTGGCCCTTGTGAGGAGAATATGAGAAATTCTTCAAAGAAACGGTTTGAATGAATCAACGTAGGTGGAATTAAATACGCTTTTCGCTGGGGCCGGCCGATTGTACATATTGTTTGACGAATACGCTTAGCGTTAAGCCTGTAAATACGCCAGTGGTCGTCGTATTTAGAGCATTAGTATTTAAATTGTAAAACCTAGACTAGTTTTAAATAGACATACATTAATCTGCGAGGGTTGTGATATTGACTGATTTGTAATAAAGTGAACAGGCGCCACGTCTTAATTGTCGTAATGTCTGGAACATCTCTTACGACAATATCATAAGATAATTTCTAGAATATCAAATTATCATATTTTATTTTGTACATTTCATATTTTTTATTTAATTTCTCATTATTTAAAAGAGTTTCAAATGTATTTATCATACTAATTCATACATGCACGACAACTAACTAAACATTTTTCTCCACGCTGCCACCCGGTCACTATAGTTATATCCCAACTACGCCAGTGTAAGATATACCAAATATTTTAATATGCAATTTTACTGCATCTGAAACCTGTACGATTTTAAAACTAACTGCTTGTTGAATGCTTTTTTATTTTATATTCGCTCGCTGAACGAGATTTGTTTGCATTTGCATCAAAATACTGTATTTGGCAAATAGTTATTTAGATTGGTGATTGTGAGTGTATATATGTAAATAAAACGGTCTAACTTTGAAAACCATGTTAAAAGCTCTCTACCATTCGCAGAGATGAAAAAGAACCCCTCAAAGAAACTGGCGAAGACGCTATAAAAAGGAACTCTTCAGTCGAATTCGACGGACGTCGAGTGTACGCGACGAGCGGAACGATTATCGGTAAAAACTCAGCAGTCTAAAATATATCAAATATCACTAAATATATATCGAAAGTGTATTTCAAAGTCGTCGAACGAGCAAAATTTGAATGATTATTTAAGTGATTACAGTTAAGCTTGTGTATTTGTGATGAGCGCGACCAGTATTTGAAACTGCCAAAAGACGAATTATATATCGTTTACTATTAAGTGCGTAATCAGCTTTATTGCGTCTAATTAGATTTAATATGGGGAGAAACAATCTTCCCTGCTAATATCGCGGGCGACATAATATTAATAAAGGAAAACATCAAACAAAAGGTAATATAAATAAAAATGCTTTATATGAAGTATATACGTATAGGTACTTATTCTGAGAGTTGTATGTAAAGGATATTTAATTGAGATATTATTTTGGTTGGTACTCGAAAATGTTATTTGGTATACATATGTATGTATGTATGTATATATATATGTATAATCTCTTTCCACTCTAAAAGATTGAGCTTTTTCATCACTAAATATCCCTTCAGTCACTAGATGTGTCATAAGGCGTAACAAAAATTTGCAAAATTAATATTTAAAGAGTTACTTAGTCATAGTTTAAATGTCGGATTTAAATGTTTTTAGTTAGTATTTATTATTATTAGTTACTTTATCTTCTACTACTAGATCACTAGAACACAGCTTCACGAGGTACAAAACGTGCCTTAGAGATTTTAGGTACTTTCATGAGGGTATTGTAGCGTAGGCTAGATTGTATATAACATTTTGTACTTTAGAATGGAGATTGAAAGTCACAGTTTTTTGTATAATATATAATGAAGAATGCTATTACTGAAACTAGAACTTAACGATAATTGATATAATGAGAGTTGATTCCATAGATATTTAAAAACATACTCAATGGAATCAGATATAAGAAATACTAATAACTTTAAAACATTCAGGCATTCCCTTTAACTCTATGTATAACTTAATAACCGCACTTTTATGTAAGAAAAAGTTTCGACTAAACACCAGAAAAATAGTTTTTTTTTTAAATTATTGTCGACGTTAGTCAAACACTGAATATTAGACGCACCATTGTATACTTAATGTGTAAATAAGTAAAGTATAATTTTGTAAATATTTTATAATGTTTATGTATTCTAGTTATAAGTGAATGTTTGCATTTGTTAGAAATACATGCTTCAATCAGATTGGTATTTTATATAAGATCTCTGTTCACTGTCTCTGTTTAGGATTTTATACTATATTGGCAGGGCTCGGAAACCCGTTCAATTTTTAAATCGGTTTTAGTCATTGACCCCAAACTGAAAGGCTTTTCGTTTAAGGTTTCTTTAACGTTCTCTTACCGGTTAAATCCGGGAGAACGGTTTTTCACGAATTTAGGTTCCATGATCAAAATTAACCGGTTAAAATGAGTTTTTCTGCGTTTACATTCGGCGAATCTTTGCTAATGGTGAATTGCTTAGTAGAAGGATACATTTACGACGTACGTATCTTACTTATGAATGAATTAACCGGTTAAAGAACTAGCGATGAATTAACCATTACATAACCGAAATAAACCGTATTTTTTAAACCGGTTTCCAGCCCTGTATAATGGAATCACTGTTAGATTTACGTTTTATTAAATAACGTATGGTAGATTTATATTTAACCATGTAACGGGTCCCATATAGGTTTACTTTAAATTATTTTCATCAAATAAATCACACAGTTTGAATTTAATGATCACTGTCCACTTAAATGTTGTTTATGATTTAAAAATGATAGATGGTTTGACTGAAATTATGAAATAAGTAAATTCTGACAGATGTAAATATTAAGTGCTGATTCGATTCTCGCCTGAGGTTATATTAACCATTCAGATCTGAAAGGCGAATCGATGGAAACTTATCAGTATCTAACGATTTTTCCCACCTGTAGGTAAAATATGATGACTATCAATACAAGAAACATCATATATGCATGTGTATTATGTTTTGTGTAAATGTATAATAAAAATATATAAAAGTAATCAGAGAATCTCTTTTTTTAGTTGGGTTATAATATAGATCTATTTTGATAGATGAAAAGACTTTATTGAGTGGACATAAGTTGACAGTGACAACTAAATCAAATCATATAATTTTTAAGTCAACCCTCCTTCACGTATTGTAGAGTATGTAGGTAGTTTATTCACCATTTTTGATACAAGCTATTATATAGTCTGTTTTTAAATTAGATCAATTATACTTCACAAGATATTGGCATTAATATATAATTTTATAACTACAGTGAGCTTTTTGAGACATTATTTATTTCTATATAAATAATATTTGTAACTTAAGAAAGCTTTTAGGTATACTATTCGCAAAGTCTCGTGAATGTATGCTTCAAATGAAACGTTGTCAAGACAAGTTAATGTATCAACATAGATGCGCATTTTTATAAATAAATGTCTTTAACATAATACAGTGTTTTATTTAAAACTTTTCTGATACGATCGGATCATATTTTGTACAATTGTGGGCGACAGTCGTGCGTGAAACAAAATTGACATAAACTTTTAACAGGATTAATTTAGAGACACGTTTTCATTATGATTTTATATACATAAAAATATTTTGATATTTATTGAGAGTAAAATAATATAAAAAAATACATATTTCTGAATAGAGTTTTTTGAATATGAATATTAAAAAGCAAAGCAAATAAAGTTGTTTAGAACCATTTAAAAAAGGATACAACATCAATTTATCCTTGTTAGTATACAATAAGGGAGTACAATGGCAAGATATAATAAAATACGCTTTTTAATCGCGGCTCCCATTACACAGTAATCTCGGATGAGGGTTGCGCGTGAGCAAGGCCCGTATTAGTAACAATAGCGCAAATGTTGGCCGACAACACTTACGGACTTATTATATAGTGATGTGCTTTGAAAATATCGATTTTGAGAAATTTGAAATGATAATATAAATTATTTTTGTCACGACATCGTTAAGTCAAACACAAAAATTTTGCTAATTAGATATTTTAATTACTTTCATATTTTATGTTTAGCCGATTTTAAGACGTAGAAGAGGAATGTAGAATATTGTAGGTTTTAGGAGGTTTTGAAGTGAAATTTCTTTAGAATCGTTGAGATTTGAAACTTGATGAAAGGAAAATGCCTCACGACAGAGACAAACACATACATATATAGGATTAAGGGGCGAAAGAATGAGATAAAATACATAACGCAGCAAGTGAAAAATAATAATAATAATACTGAATAATATGTAATGTAATTATAGGTATATTAAATAAAATGTAAAATAACTGTTAATCTTGGTAAAAATATTATTTAAAAAAAACCTTAGAATTTCCTAGTCCTGAAACTCTATATCATTCTTTCTCATTCCCTCGGAGTTTACTTTTCTGAAGTTTCACTTCTACCGTGTGCGAATTGCACTCACACAACCTTTTTTTCTTTCTAAATGTCAATTCAAAATTTTACCTTGAACGTATAAAGAAAAAAAATATTTTGATACAATATTCACATTGTTTTCCATCAAGTCATTCTTTATAGCAACTATTAATAGGTCATTGATTGATTGAATTCTAGGTTTGTTTATACATAAATTATAGGTGATATGAGATACTGTAATTGGGATATTTGTTATCATTAACCTGATAAACTTTCCTTTATGATCGCGATCAAATCCAGGTATGTATATCATTTCATTGTATTGCTATTGTGATTGTTAAAAAGTGGTTGTTATTTGTTGTGGCCGTATACATAGTAATAACATTAAAATGTTAAAAGAAAATTAAGAACTATAATTTTCACAAAAGATTTTAGATGTTATCAAATTTAGATGTAATTAACCTAAAAATTCTTTCTACTTATATTATTACGAAAGTCTCTTATATGGTTTAGTTTTTATCGTGGTATTACAAAAAAATAAAACGTGTGTATGTACTTATGTCCGCACGTAAGAAGTTATAAGTACTTTGGCGTAACAGAACAGAAATAGCTAAAGATTTCATCCCGTATCTCACAACTCTCTGTTTGTAAAAGAAATGCAGCTTACTTCATCATGTCGCTTTTTGGCTGTCGGTGTGCGCGCACATCGTAAAAAAATTACTCTCATATTTTTTTCCAAACGTACCAAAAGAAGTAAACCTAAAAAGAAGTAAAAAAGAAGGAAGTATAACTTCAATAATAATAAAGCCAGGGACGAATATACTTGTACAAGGACTTAGCAAGCCAGGGCGGGTTACTAGTAATCTTTATTTCATCTGTTATTGATATTTATGTTAGGTACATATTAGGTAATAATGTTTATAATATGTTTTATATGTTATAATAAAAATAAATGTTATATGTCATACAGCACTACTTTTAAATGCGTCATGCATCTCTCAATCGGGGTGCAGTCAATCACTGTGGTTTAATACATTTGGAGGAACCGACAACAATGACGCACCCTGTATCACGTTATTTATGGGTTCGTATACTATGGGGAAACTATACGTGCCATATCTCTAGCATGCGAAAAATGGAATTGTTCTAAACCATAACAGCGTTAAATTGCAGGCCATAATGATTTGTTACGGACAAACAACTCTTCTCACTTTCACATAATATGTATTATTGAGTGAAGTACAATTTTATATATTACTCTTAACCAATATCTATAAATTATGTATTTAAATCGTAAGCGAACCATACTATTTCATCGTAGGTAATTGCTGAAATTGTTAATTAACGAATGTACAAAAAGACGGAAGGAATATAATTTCGGAAGTTCCGAGGTCGTTTGCCCGCTGACACACGTCTGCACTACGCGTTAAATAGTTTTTAAGTTTTATAATTAATATATATGTGAGTTCTAAGGTATATATGCTATGGGCCTCTGTTTACCTCCTCCTTTTGTAAATATTGCCTGAAATAAATGATTAAATAAATTAAATAAAAATATAGTAGCTCTTAAGGTTAAAAAGTAAGTGTTCCACACACTACTTGTCAAAAAGTGATATTTTGACAAAGACCTCGCAAACTA